AATTTAATCTTTCAAGTAAGGTGAACAATTCTGCTGGGTTTAATTTATACAAAATGTCTCTTTAAAGTTTCATTAACTCAAAATCTGTCAGCCCAGTGATTTTGCGTCTGACGTCATCCAGGTTCACGTACGTGCTCATGCTTCATTCGTTTTTTTCAAGATGGCGGATCGGCCTCGCTTCACACTACAGTAAGTAAAATATTTACAAATCCAAGAAATATTAAATGTATGTTTTAATTAATATAATCACAGTAACAGTTTAATGTAATGTAGAGTTAATCAGGGTGCGTTTACATGTCGTACATTACAGAAAACATGTTTAGCCTCACTTGTTGCTAACTAACGTTAACATTGCTGTTTAAAAAGTTAGAATCAGTGCTACGTTACCGTTAGTTGTAACGTGTTAACTCTGAATTTTAACAGAGTGTGATAAAGACAAAAATATTTAAAATCGGCAGATTACATTTTTCAAAAAAATTTAAATCTTGGCGCGAGTATGCCATTTCTCAGCCTGTGCTGAAGTTGTCATGGAGACGCGCGCTCTCACAACCGCATGTCATGGCGCTGCGCTGAACTCCATCCAGTCTGTGAATGTGGTATTATCTTCGCGATCTGTAGGCACTTCGGAAACGAAAGGCGCAAGAAACGTAACGTTAATCATAACTCAAATGATCTCCGCCTAAACACTTAACGGTATTTTCTGATGACGCGCAAAAACGTAGTCTCAAAACTTAACTCTGTCACACGCAGCTTGTTGCTTGCTGATCCATGTATGAGGATAGCCTGACGGAGAACATTTAAGCTGCGCTCCTCACCTGAGCAGGTACAGAGCAGAGCTTCATTTTACACTACCACATTGAGGTAAAGTTGGTTTTATATTCATACATTCATTTAGTAACAACTTGTGACTCGCTCCATAAATTGTTTACCATGGTTCTTTGTCTATTCGTTCTGAAATCACATGCAAGTATGACATGAAAACAACATTACACTAAATGCACTATTTTTTTTGACTGAACAATGTTGTACTTTGAAAGTCATTGGCTGCTAATATGATTTCACCATTAAGAATATGCAAAAATTACCTTTCTGAAATTATATTATTAAGGAGAAAGTCTGAATGTGTAAATATAAAACTAACTTTACCTCAATCACCAGCACTGATCAACACTTAATATTTCCTCGCGCTTAAGACGACATCTCTGCATATCAATGATTACCTGATTAATGCGATCAGTTAAGTGAGTTTAAATGTCATTTAGGTCAAATGTATTTTAAAGGTATGATAAAAGTTTTTTTTTTTTTCAATCTATTTTTTAAAATGTTTACTCTGGAGAGAATATAAACAGCCTAAAAAACAAAGTATGCATATCTATAACACATTAATACAAAATTATGTTATTAAATAAAATAATAACAAAACAAAATATTCAAGACGTAAAGAAGACAGTTTTCTGATGTGCAAATTTTGTAGCTTAAAATATATTTATATCTTAAAAATATAAATATTTTAGTCTATATATTTTTACATCATTAGACAATAAGGTAAGTTTTGTTATTTCTAGCTTTTAAAATCAGGCCTTAAATTTCTTTGTCGTCCTATTCAGTTTTAGAAATTTCAATACTGTTTAAATCTGTGTTCATCGAATTAAAGCAACTAACATGATAATCAGCTCTATTGCTAACCGTTTTGGAGGTTAACGTTAGACATCAGGCAATTGTACTACTTCCACTCTCAGCTAAATGACACTGTGACTTTGTGTACATACAGAATTGAAGGTCGGGTGTTGCTGACTACAGATAGGTTCTTAAATGGAGGCATGTGAAAGGTGGGTAAAATATTTATTTTGTACTACTATGCCTGGCATATCCAGATAAAATAAATATTACAGTGTATTTATCAATGATACTTTTGCAGCAAGGAAAGTGAAACTTCAGCTAGACCTTGAGTTCAGTTTACAACATGAAGATCCTGCTTTCAACATCTGATCAACACCTGATTTTCATCTGAGGTAAAAAATAGATAAGTAAATGAAACATAATAATAATATTAATACATTTTTTCTAGAATTGTATATTTTGTGGTGTGGGTTTGTTTTATGAAATTCTCTCTTGTTTCTTTTTGCTGTTTGCAGAGTACCAACATGTTACAAATGAGAATTTTCCCCACAAATTCTTTGCAAAACTGGACCACCACCTATTTCATTTGATGACAATTTTAAGGCAAACAGCATCCAAAACTGGCAAGACAGCAGATACCCTGGCTAATCTTTTAAAGGTTTATGATGAGCAGGTATGTTTGGGGTCACGTGTTAAAGTATACATTAAAATATAATTTGAATTATTATTATTATTTTTAATTTTTAAAAAATTGATTCTTGATTTCCAGGAACTGAATGATGTCAGTTCATGACGGACTACTGTTATCAGAGGTCTTTTGGTCTTGCTGCGTGAGCGTGACTTAAGATTCTTTAGGAACACCATGGTAAGACTTCATTCATTCTTTTCACAATTAGGCATGTTTAATGAAAAGATGAAAGTTTTGAAAACTTTTACTTAATAACATATTTGTAATCAAGAATAGTTGATGAATCATATAATATTGGCTCAGTCATTTTGATACTGTCCTTACATTAATATCCTTGAATTATGTTTTTAGATTGATAATCCTGCTGACTGAAGATGCTTTATTGGCCCTGCATTCACTGAGGGTCTCTGTTGTCCTGAAGAATGAATTGGACACCACCCACAGCACACTTCCAGACCTTTCTTGTCTTGTATGGATTAATGTATGCTCTTCACATAATATATAGTAAAGGACTTTGAACTTGTGCAAAAAGTTTTGCTTGGCATGGATGATGGAAAATAAAAAGTCTCGTAGCATGGAAACCTTAAAGAATGAGCTAATGTAGAGCTTTTTTTTTTTTAACTTAATAAAGACTGTCTCTGGGGTAGTAACTTCAAAACATTTATTTACGTCGCCCTGGTCGCTAATTCAACCCAGCTGGACCATCATCAACACAGGATCGTTCACAGCTGGACGTCATCAAGTGGAGAGGCATATAAACCAAGCCCACGCAAGGAGAAGATGAGCTTCATTCACCCAATGACTCCATGCGCTAACGCTTGTCTCTCTGTCTCTCCACAGCAGACTCCAGCTCGTGACGATCCCACATCCGACTGCTCACTGTCCTTCACTTACTTCCCGGAGCACCAGAGCACCTCACCTTGAAGAAGAGCACCGTTTACACCCCATTCACGTTGTAAATAAAGCACCCTCCGGGGACTTGTCTGTAAACTTATCCAACTGTGTCGCTGTTTTCCCTCTGCCTCGCTACAATATATATATATATAATCTGCTCTCCGTTTAACAGAAATTGGGGGAAAAATAAATGGGGGCGAATAATTTCTTCAACGATATATATATATATACGACTTCAACGATATATATATATACAGTTTCTGTGTAGTTTACACTAAACGAGTCACTTCACAGAATGTGCACTTATTATTTTTTTTAACGAATGCCTTAAGAGTAAGTTTTACACATTAATGTATTATTAAATTTTATCAAACTTATAGTTGTTTTTTCTTGAGGCTCTTATGTCTGATATCATATTTACATTGTGGGTAATTTTTATTAATTTCAGAATAGTGTTCATTTTCAATCTCTTTATGTCTAAAAGTTTTTATCGTTTTAAGACATTTGTAATTGCATAGGAGACAAATTTGAAAGTACTGTTGGACATTTTTTCTTTAACAATAAATGTCTAAAATGGTATTGTCTGTGTGTTTTAAATTACAGATTTATTTTGACAGATTTATGGGGTTTAAAGATTAAAATAATGGCTAATTTTAATTGTGAAACTGACGATGGAGAAGTTAATTTGAGCTGGGTGACTAAGTATGTAAAGTTGAGATAAATAATTAAAAATAAGTTAATTGCTATTAAAATGTATGAGCTGGGTGATTTAAGTATTTAAAGTTGAAAGAAATTAAAGCAATTAAGTTAATTGGTATTAAAATGTATGAGCTGGGTGACTAAGTATTTAAAGTTTGGAAAAATTGAAACAATTAAGTTAATTGCAATTAAAACGTATAAGCTGAGTAACTTGGGTATTTTAAGTTAGGTGAAGTGTCTTGCATGAGTACAACAAACTCAAAACTTAATGTTTCTGTTTACTTAAAATAGATAATTTCATAACTTAAAAAATTTGACGTAACTGATTACCTCAAATTTTTTGAGTTTTGTCAACTTATTCGGGATTACAGTGTAGCCATTAGTTACATTATGGCCAGATTGCACTCAGTAGTGGAGGATTTTACTGTCAGCAACCTTTGGTGCAGTGTTTTCAGATGAACAAGGAGCTACATTTTACAGACGGAATTGTATCATATTCTTTCAAACCACTGCCTCCTACAAAGGCAGGACAAAAATGAGACAAACACTGATAGCCCTGACCTTAAAGCATTCCTAATCTGAGCATACTGATGAAAGTATTTTGTTATTCAATTGTTGAGTGTTTTTACCTTTCAATTTTTATTAGTATTTCACAGTGTTGCAATAAAAAAAATGAATTTATTACAAATACTGCCTAGCAAAGCTTCAATTTATAGAGTTTTAAGACTTTCAGCAGGAACACACTACAAAATAGACCTCTGATTAAGTTGTAGGTAATTTGAAATGACTATGAATTAGGCCTAACCTGAGAGTAAAAAATCAAGATTCAGATTAAAGGACACACCATGAAACAACACTCATTAATCCATTACTTGTTGTTGTGAGCATAACTTTGGTGATGATGAGGATTTAATAATTTAACTAATCAATGGGTTATTGAAAGTATGCAAGGTTCACTGCATAAATCCTGCAAATACGCCAACCCAGGCTCCTTATTGATGTGTACCGCTGTATACATTTCTGGCTAACATGAAATACGTCCCAGGAGGTATGTTTTTTTGCAGTTTTTGTTTTCACGAATCCACCAGAGGCTGCTGTGTACCTTTTTCAGATCTTAAATTTACTGTTTGCCTGCTTTTCTTGTGTAAATTCACGAGAGGAAAAACCTTCAAATATTGTGATACTATTATACAATTAAAAGTGAGAAAACTATTTACTATAGGGCCTTTTATAATTACTTTTAACTCAAAATGACAACAAAACCATTTCCGCTTTTATAAAACAAGGATCATTCCTTGACCATTCAAAGCAGCCAAAGGTCAGTCTATGCAAGACTAGTTTGTTGGTGAGCCAGGGCATATTGTTTGGTTAAGATCTAGCCTACCTCAAGAACCTTCAGGTGCTTCCCATCAGTGTCCTTGAATGATCGAGCCATGAAGGCTTGCGTAGCCTTGCTGCTGAGGCGTTGGTGCTCTGAGGAGACTTGCTCCAGCTCCAGGGGGAAGGAGCACTTAACCTTCTCCATTCCTCTCTGGTACACCTCCAGACCCTCCTGCGTTGCGGCCACATTCTCAATCTGGGCCATGGCAATCACTGCATTCTCCAGACAAGGCACAGCCCCACTGGAGATTGTGTTCACGTACATCTTTGTTAGATTACCCAGAACTTTCAAAGAAGAAAAGAAATCAAGAACAATGATATGGAAAAGGCACTGAACAAGAGATCACTGTAAACAGGCAAACTCTTCAAATTCCCTTTAAAATCACCTCTGCCAGTGACCGTGTGTCCATCTTTCAATCGCTTCACTTCGCTCTTGTCAAAGACAAACTTACAGAAACGTTTGGTGACCTCCAGGAACTCAGTGGAAAGGTCAGCAGGACTCAAGCTCTCCAGAGTGGACATTTTCTCTGGAGCAGTTGGAAATGGGAAAGTGAAGCATGTCCTGGTGGGAAAGAATTTTTGAATGCACTCCCTGGGAAGGTTGAAGCTTGTTATTTTTTTCGAAGTGCCTAGAACAGATAAACACAAGAGTTTTATCAGTTCTAAAGAATAATGAGGGTCTGTGTATGTTTTGATCATTTATTTTTCAAAATGAAATTAAGCAGAAACAAGAAAATTGCCTCTTTTTTTCAGAACAAACTAAAATCTACATATTTAGATTTTCGTTGTTTGTTTTTTTTCACAGTAGAATAAAGCTAAAAATGCATGCAGAAGTTTTATAAATCTCAATTTTTGTTTGCATGTGCCATTTTAAGTAATTCAGCATATGTTTATTTTTAGGATGGTTTCTAAGTTAAGTTTTATAGAAGCCCCTGGGTTTAATTTTGCTTGAGCAAATAGTAGCGTAGCCTAAATAACATCATACATTTACCGGCAGTCCATATGAGGTTGATCTGCTGCAAATAGTCAAGCATGCTATTTTTCATTTATAACACTGCAACTGACATTGCAGACCGACTGTCTTTAAAATGTTAATTAATTCATTTAAAAAACTTAAAACGGCTGCATAGCAGAATTTAACGGGAAGCAAATTGTATATGTACAAGTGTGCTTCAGAGCAGTTTAAAAGTGAAGGCAAACCAAGGGTTATGTGCTGTGCCAATGTGTTATTACGCTTTGTCCAACATTTATTACTTTAACAAAATTAGGCCAAGCCTACTAAGAAAAACAATGTGTCTAAAAAGCTGTAGCCTTACAATTTGCTGTTACTGCTAAAATAAATTTGATATTTTTCCTTATTTGCCAGCTTAATACTTCTAACCACTGAACTATTAAACGGCTCTGCACTGGTGTTTCGAAAAAAGCCAAAACTTTTCTAATATTTTGTTTTGACATTCAACCACACATCCAAAAACCCAATCAAGAGTTGTTGTTTTTTGTTTCTAAATACTGCAAAGCTGCATTCTATACTATATGCAGTAGCAGATGATTGGTGTTTATCTCTCTGTTTTGTTGTTTTTCTTTGTTTTGTGCAGTATAAGTTGATTTTTTTCCCACTGGCTACATTTTCATGTTATATTGTTTTGTGTGAACACATGACTTATTGAAGTTTTCAATAGATGTGTTTTTGGCTTCTTTATTTTGTATACAAATTTAAACAGTACATTCAAAATTTGGCAGATACAGTCTTATCCAGTATGTGGTATCAGAGTAATGTTGATCTGTTAACAAAGTTGTAAGAGCTCATGAGATTCAGCAGTATATTACCAGGTTTCAGCTTCAGAGCAAACTCTAGATATTCATCCTCTGTGGCATCTTTGCCATCAATCTTTCGCTCGAGGGTGAAGTCCCTCACAGACCAGATGAAACTAGGAAAGAATTTTACAAACTCAGTGGAATCATCAACATCTTCATCTGACGATTTGACCTTGATGCACTCTGTTAGTTCAGTAACATATCTGGCAGATTGTTCAGGTAGAAACATAAAGTGACTGTCCAACCACTCGATAAGCATTCATTAGGGCTGCCCTCAACTAAAGATGTTCTTTATTATTAATAGTGGTAAGTAGTTAAGCCATTACAAAGACTATAGAATACAGAAGATGTGTCACTCATATAGTGTTGAATGAGAAAACATGTAATGGTCAATACGACGTCTAATTTTCCAGAAAGAAAAGTAAGAATTCCAGAAAAACTATCAGCCGTATTGTGATCTCATTCTCTTCAAGTGTGCATGCACAGTATCTTGGGCAAACTGAAAAAAATAGTTATCTTTTTTTAATTTAAATGTAAATAAAATTTAAGAGACAGTTAAATTTTATTGGTGATTCTAAATATGAAAATCAATTGTAAGCTGGTCAAACCATTTGGAAGAATTTGTTGTTTTTCCTATTCCCCACACATCTGAAATCTTGACTAATTTGTAAGATGGCACATCAGATTATCTTGTGGGGCCAGGAGTAACTGCTCTCAGTCAGGGCAGTTAATATTCTGGGCACCAGAATGTGGGAGCAAATATCCTGTCAAGAAAGAGGCTCAATGTTCCAAACTTAGCAATTTTGTTGCTAGATTTAGCAACTTTTCATACTATCCTAGCAACTTTTTAATTTTTTTCAAAAAGCACCTAGCAACAAATTTAGCAATTTTTAACATTAATTTGGCTACTTTTAGCAATTTTTAAAAAGTGACTCAAAAGAGCAGTGGCTGCAGGCTTCAGTCACTAGAGTAAATTGCTAGCTCAGATTGTTTTTCATAACTGTTAATTCACTGATGTTTGTTAACATGTATAAGTGTTGGTAATTTAGGTAGCAATAAATTCCATTAGTGCTATAATTGTTTTCACTTTCACAAACTTGTTAATTTCACAACTTATAAAAAGTAAGTACACAAGCTGCAATTGTTAAAAAATGTAACTGTTTATTATCAGTTATATTTAAAACTAAAAAATTCTTATCAAAAAGTGTTTATATTACTTTTACGAATAATCAACTCTACGTTTTCATACAAATCTGAATGGACATATTTCAAATAATGTTTTTGCTGAGATGGCCAGTCAATTTGAGAAAACAGTAATTGTTTTGTATACTACATAAAGATGTAGGTTTGAGTTGTGATTATGCAATTCTGTCATCATGCAAAGTAATATGTCAATAAGAACATATTTATTGGGACCAGGGCGGGGCCAAGTTGGAGTACTCACTCTGGTCCCCCAGGCTCTGTGATTGGTTGGGGAAATTCCAAATTGCACCAAAAAAAAAACTAATACAATTGGCTTAAGTCTGGCAATGAAAATTTGGAACATTGCAATCTGCAGAACCTGGAAACTTAAAAAGAAAAGAAAAAAGAACCTATTCATTGTGCATCTAGATGTAATGTTTTAATATAATATAATACATGGCGCCTCAGAGAGTAGAGACAGTCTCCAGGAGTAACCTATGTATGTGCGCTTAGAGATGTGTGTGTATGTGGTCCTTTACTGACTCAGTAGGTGCAGAGAATAATGTCAAACAGCCATGTGTGTATGGTTTTTGTCGCAAAATGCGCCTAAAAGTCCTACATGACAACAATAGTTTGATTATGGCGTTTACATGTCGGTACTGCAAAGCAATAATGCCACTAAAATAGGAATACCCCACATGTCTCAGTTCAAATTGTATTCACGACGATTTTGACTTGCTTATGAGATAAGCATATCTAACGTGCTATTTGGATGCAGCAACTTTTGAACTCCCATGAAAAAAGTGGTTTTGTCACACTCACCCAAGCAAACGAGTGATGCACAACACTGAGGCAGCCCGGATTGCCAGGTGTGTGCAAAGCACTTGGGCCCCGTTTAAACTAATGCATTTTAGTTTGAAAACGCATACGTTTTGCTACGGTTACGCCATCCATCCACACTACGCCGGAGTTTTCGAGCACCGAAAATTGAGCGTTTTGAAAATGCTGAAGAGGCCGTTTTCATCCGAAAACGCTGCAGCTCCGTCTTAGTGTGGATGGGGGAAAACGAAGACATCTGAAAACGGAGGCGGGGCTGCCGGCATCCGCCTGTATGATTGGGGCTTTTGCTCAATATTAAGTAGCCTACACACAGTTAAAGTTCTGCATCCTCTCCTTGTAAGTTCAGACTTTGCAAGTTTGATATGGAAAACAGACTCCCGAGAACATGTCAGGTACATTTTCAACGGGAACACTGTACTTTATCACCTCATTCACATCATCCTGGCTACATTGTTTCTAAACAATAAAATAAAAACATGAAGGAACTGCTGTTTTTATTTTGATATTAACAACTTAAAAGACAGCAGAAATGTGGGGGCGTTGTGCAGCATATATGAGCGTCATCTTCACTGTGTGGATATTTATAACAAAACGAAGCCTAACATTGCTGCCTCCTTTCATTTTCATTTAAAATACAAAACATGCCCTCTCTTTTGCTGAATATCAGTTTTAATAATCGATAATGGCCATTACAAAAGTATAACATACAATAAGTTTATACATTATAGGAAATAAAGGCAAGCAATTATTCAATATACACAGTGTACGTGCTTGGATTAATTATTAATTTATCTCTGCGATCAGCCAAAACACGTTACCTGAGAACAAGTAGCCTAATAGATTCAAAAGACCAAAGTCGGGGAATATGTTGTTGGATATAGACAACAAGATGAATTAAATATCACGTTTAGCAAATATAGTGAGATTAGATCCAGCAGGAGATCCTTGATGAACACTCCAACTAGCAGAGCTCTCATCTGGGTAGACAGGCTGCAGCGCTTGCCAGAGAGTGTGTGTGTGGTCACATGATGTGCGTTTTGGTGTAGACGAAGAGCTGTTCAGAAACGCTAGGTGAAAAGCTAGTGTGGACACGGATCGTTTTCATTCCAAAACGCCGTTTTAAAACAAAAATGCACTAGTGTAAACGGGGCCTTGATGTGCAGTTAAAATCCAAACCTGCCTCAAATCTTCAATGCTAATTTCACTCTCACTCTTCATCATAACATCACAACTCACAAGACAACTGTTCACCTCGACAAGATATCTCGTCGTGATTTAGTCTCATGAGATCTTGTAGCCCAACATCTCGTCACACCCCCAGTAACTAAAGCTACAGCTCATAAAATACTTTTTACATCTGAAATTTTCAGTAAAGAAAGTAAATGTAAAGACAATGTGTTTCCTCATAATAACCTTTACTCACATAGGAAAATAAAAATGTAACAAAAAAAAAAGACTAAAAGTAAACTACAAAGTAGTGTTGTATTTGTGTTTCCTTGTGAAGACATGTGTTAAGAAGGATACTGGAGCTCCTCTATGGCCCTGTTGTTGATCGTCCCACGGCTGTTGTAAACCAAAGTGCTGCTCAGGAGCACAGCCAGACAGAAGATGTTGGTGTCATGCTTCGAGTCACCCTGAGAAGGAGAAGCATATTCTTGAACATAGAATAATCTGGAAATACTCTATAGCATTTTTTTTTTACTTTACTTATTAACTTTAACATTAATTGCAGTAAAATTCTTCACACCACAACACCCTGACAGCATCTGACTCCTCGCTGGATCCATTTTCAAATCGACACATCTGTTTCACACCATTAATATAGATCCAGACCGGACTAAAATTACTGAGCTGGAAATACAGAGGCAAAATTAATGTGGGTCATATGGCCAGCAGAGATTAGAAGTAATGAAGTACAAAACTTACTACAGTAAATCTACAGTACTTAAGTAGATTTTTCAGGTATCAGTACTTTACCCCACCATTTGTTTTTTGACAACGTTTTACTTTTACTCCTTACATTTTTACACATATCTGTGCTTTCCACTCACTACAATTTTAAACCACATTCGTAACTTTCATTTTCATGTGTTTAGTGGTGCAATCATGATTAGTTCATGACAAGTTAGTTCATATTAATGAATCAATAGGATGTAACACTCTCACATTTACACACACTAATACACTAGGCCAATTTAGTTTATCTATTCACCCATACAATAAATCTGTAGAATTTAAATTTATTTAAGATCTATTCCCCATGTCTTTTTACTGATATTTACCTAGTGAAACTAAAACTTGTAGTAGTAAAGGGTACTTTATATATATATATACATGTTTTCAGGCCATATTCTTATACTTTTACTTGAGTACAAAAGTCTAGTCAGTACTTTAACTTTTATCAGAGTCGTTTTAAACATGAGTATCTGTACTTCTACTTGGGTAAAGGATGTGTGTACCTTTGCCATCTCAGCTGGCCAGACAGCAAAAACTTTTGGCCCAGATAGTTCAAAATCTTTTTTTACTTATCCAGACCAGCACTGGGCCAACTCCGGGCTAGATGCAGATTCTCTTATGTTGATTTTGATATGTTGAAGTGCGGGTCAGATCTGGTTCAGGTATGTTCATGATCTGGTCTAGTTCTGTGCTAGATCTGAGCCAATACCATGCTGGATCTGATTATATATATATATATATATATATATATATATATATATATATATATATATATATATATATATATATATATATATATATAATTTGCATTTATATTGTATACACATCAAACTCAGAATTTAGTTCCAGCCCTGTTCCTACCGGTTTCAATCAAGCCTGAAGTGATCAATTAATTTGGTTAGCTGTGTTCAATTAGGGTTAAAGCTGAACTATGCATAGCTGTGTCCCTTCAGGAACTGAGTTTGACACCTCTGCCTTAAGCTATAAACACACAAAAAGGTTGAAAGTACTGCTATGTACATTTAAACAAGTACTGTGCCAAATAAAATATCACCTGGGAATCTAATGTTAGAGCTTACACAACAGCCTTTAGTTAACTGTAAACATTCAAAAAGTATAAATAAATAAAATAAATTTAAACATTTGAGTATTTTTGATCAAATGTTCCTTAACGCTGAGTGAAGTTTATTTATAAAATAATCTTGAGAGGATAACTGGCTTATGATTGACCACAGCTGGTCCCGCATTAGCTATCACATAATTTACCAATCAGATGAATCCAAACACACATAAACAGCTGAATTTTCCTTACCTTAGCCATCTTCATCTCGAAGAATCCCCCTGTACACTCTAATTTCTTTTCCTCTTTCCTAGCATAATACAGGGGAGTTCTCAAGACCTTCCTGAGCTTAGACTCCCCTCACCTGATGAAACAGGTGGGAGCCCTGGGCTCAAAAATCTTAAAAGCTTGGTGCTCTCTCCTATAACAGCATGCCAAACATGCATTTACTTATCAATAATCAGCTAAGTGTGAACTCTTGAAACTACTTTCAAGAGTGGGGTACCTCAAGGCTCTGTTCTTGGGCCACTTCTCTTCTCCATCTACACATCATCTCTAGGACTCCATCTCTAGGACTCCATCTCTAGGACTCCATCTCCATCTACACATCATCTCTAGGACCAGTCATCCAGAGACATGGATTCTCCTACCACTGCTATGCTGATGATCCCTCGGTTCCAGCTCGTATCTCAGCCTGCCTGTTGGATATTTCACACTGGATGAAAGATCATCATCTTCAGCTGAACCTTGCAAAAACGGAAATGCTTGTAGTTTCTGCCAACTCGACTCTACACCATAACTTTTCAATCCAGATGGATGAGGCAACCATTACTGCATCCAAAATGGTGAAAAGCCTTGGAGTAACGATTGATGACCAACTAAACTTCTCTGACCACATTTCTAGAACTGCTCGATCGTGCAGATTTGCACTCTATAACATCAGAAAGATCCGACCCTTCTTATCTGAACATGCAGCTCAACTCCTTGTTCAAGCTCTTGTTCTCTCCAAACTGGATTACTGCAACTCTCTACTAGCTGGGCTTCCAGCTAACTCTATCAAGCCTCTTCAGCTGCTCCAGAATGCAGCAGCACGAGTGGTCTTCAATGAACCTAAACGAGCACATGTCACTCCGCTGCTAGTCCGTTTGCACTGGCTGCCAGTTGCTGCTCGCATCAAATTCAAAGCTCTGATGTTTGCCTACAAAGTGACCTCTGGCCTTGCTCCTTCTTATCTGCTCTCACTTCTGCAGATCTATGTGCCCTCCAGAAACTTGCGTTCTGTGAATGAACGTCGCCTCATGGTTCCATCCCAAAGAGGGAAGAAATCACTTTCGCGAACGCTCACGCTCAATCTGCCCAGTTGGTGGAATGAACTCCCTAACTGCATCAGAACAGCAGAGTCACTCGCTACTTTCAAGAAACGACTAAAAACTCAACTATTTAGTCTCCACTTCACTTCCTAATCTGCAATTGCCTCTTTGAATATCACACTAACTGTACAAAAAAAAAATAAATAAATAAAAAAAACTAATACTACTAATACTTCCCTTCTTAGACTTTACAGACCTGAAACTTGCCTATAGTACTTATTCATTGTTGCTCTTAGTTGTGTAAATTGCTTCCTTGTCCTCATTTGTAAGTCGCTTTGGATAAAAGCGTCTGCTAAATGACTAAATGTAAATGTAAATGTACTTAATGTGCTTACATAATGTTTAGCAAGCTTAAAGTGTTGCTTCACAATAAGAATCTGAATAATTATCACCAAAAACTAATGCAGCAGCAGTTAATTTCAAAAACCAAAATAATTCAAATGAAATCCAAATTCACTAACAATAAAGTCACATATTCTATTTACCAATAAAATCTCTATATTTTAGATCTTGTTGGTTTTTTACCAAGAAGAATGAGGGGTTAGTGACACAATTGGGAATAGGATGCAATAAATGTCTTGTGTCATTTGTAAATTTATAATACAGTTTTCATCAAACCAACTGGATACAACTAGACTATTATTATTAAACTACTTGACTATTATACATCTATTTGTTCTTAACTCATGCTGGGTTCTGGTACTAACTGCTCCAATACTGTTCTTAGATAGTAGTAATTCAGGGGTTACTTTACCTTTTCCACATCTCCGAGTCCCTCAGTGTCCAGCAGCACGAGAGTGGTTCCTGTTTTAGTGGGATGGGGCACACACCACATCCAGATGCCCTTTGTCTTGGATTCAATAGTGCCGCCCAGAGCAAATCCTAAAGGATAACACATGTCAGAAACTCACACAATGGCTTACAGGTAGCTTTGATCTGCTTGACATGTGGACGCTGTTTGTGAATGTCTAACCTGTTTGTTTCCCAGCCAGGTGGTTCATTAGGTAGGACTTCCCGGTGCGGTAGAGACCCACCACGGCCACCACCACCACCGGCTGCTGGATCTGCTGCAAGACCTGCAGTGCCGCCGGCTGCACATACAGCTTCCCATCTGAGTCTGTGTTGATCAGGCACACTGGTTTGTCCATGCTTACTTAAAACACTGGAGCTGTCCAACCCATAAACACACGTAACTGAAGAGATCTGAGGAGCTGCAGTGTGCCAGAAGTCAAACACCTCAGTAATGCCACTGCAGTCAGCAGTCACAAATTACCCAGATCATGAGCATTTCCTTTATAACTTCACAGCTGATTGTGTGTGTAAAAGAGTTTCTCAACACACATAAACACGTTAAGAAGAAAAGCCCCAGAAAATACTTGCATTACACATATAATAATCTATAGATAAACTGAGGTTAACAGCAAACACTAGAAATTGGACTCTCCATTTTAAAGAGCAGTACAAAATGTAGTAATACACTGAAAGAATGTATATTTCTTACCCTTTTGCTTAAGTTATCCGTCTAGCTTCGAGATGAGTTGCTTGCAAGCAAAAACTTCCAATATTGTAGCTTATTTTTAATACATAACTTTAATGCCTATTGGTCTAGATTGAGTTGGGGATTTTTCTTTAGATATCTTTGCTTTTTCTTTCCTGTTCTTCCTCCTCCTGTAATCATTTGAGCAGCAGACTAACTCTGACTTTCACTTTTGAAATCAGCAGCTGCATACTGTAAAACACATGACAGCAGATACAAAAGACTGGATTATCTGCATGCCAAACAATCACATAACAAGTCAAATACATCATCTTGGTTTTGGTGCCATTACTGCACAGATTGAAATCTTTTTTTTGTTGAACTTGGGTATGATACACAGTGTACATTATGAACAAGGAATGTGAAATAGCATAACCCTAGAATTATCAAAATTTTTACTGTTCACCTCAGACCATTTTTCCCCCCCAAATTAATCGACTGGAAAATTCCTTCTTATCTTGAGGAATTTCGTCTGCTCAAAATTCCTATATGTGCCTGACACTGTCAAGGAGAAAAGTCAAGTTCTAGGGAAATCTTTTATTCGTAAACTGTATTGTGTAATTGAAGAGTTCAGGTGCCGTTATTTTATTCCACCTGGATGCTTTGAGGATAAACATGAGACCAAGACCAAGCTGTCATTCATTCATATGGTGAGAATGAATGAATGACAGCTTCTAAAATTGCCTGAGAGGCATCCCTTTTTTGCCCAGTAGGCCTACCTTGTGTTTTATTTGCTAATTTAAGCTATTTTTTAAAAAAGATAAATATAATATATAAAACTATACATTTTTACATTACCTCATAATACCTATACAACTGATAAGCTTTTTTATATTATTGGACTATGCACATATATTGATGTTCCATAATGTTTTACACTACATTATTTTAATCTACCAAGCTTAGCTTACAATTTTACATTGCTCTACTGACATTAAATCCAAATCCCAAACATCAGAAATGAAAACAGATTGTTAAGATTTAATTAATGTCAGTTTTAATGTTTTTAATTAATGCACTTACTTGACATATTTCATTGATTCATGTTCCTTCTGCTTTTTTCCGCTGGTTTATCACAGTGGAATGAACCACCACTTACTTGACAGATTTATATATTAAAAATTTCAGGTGGTTTGTGTAATGTGTTTTATGTTTGGTAAAATAATTTCTAATTGCATTTTTAGTAATTTTTAACTAATAACAATATCTTGTCCCTATAGGTGAATTTAGAGGGTTTCGCATAAAAAGCAGGGATTTAGCTGGTGTTGATGCAAAAGAAAATTTACTTTGTTAAACACCAAAGCATTGTCTAAAGTGACATTTTTTGGGGGGGAAATGTTATTTTATTTACTAGCTAATAACCTCATAATTACATACAAAAAAATGAAACTTCTAAACCTAATTATGGGAGCCTGACACAAAATGTTTATTTACAAGATAAGATTTAGAGGGTTTTGCATCTGAACTCTTCAATTCATATATTCATTCATTTGCTTTTCGGCTTAGTCCCCTTATTAATTAGGAGTCGCCACAGCGGAATAAACTGCCAAGTTATTTAGCATATCTTTTGCGCAGCAGATACCCTTCCAGCCGCAACCCATCACTGGGAAACACCCATATACTCGTGCATTCACACTTATACACTATGACCAATTTAGCTTATTCAACTCATATAGAGCATGACTTTGGACTGTGGGGGAAACCAGAGCCCCTAGAGGGAACCAATGCCAACACTGGGAGAACATGCAAACTCCACAGAGAAATGCCAACTGACTCTGTCAAGGCTCAAAGCAGTGACCTTCTTGCTGTAAGGCAATTGTGCTACCCATTGTGCCACTGTGCCTCATTGTGTAATTTAATTCATTCATATTTCTTTAGCACTTTTTTTTAAAATGAAGATTGTCTTTAACATCTTTAATACACTCAGTTAGCTCAGACAGTTGAGACGTCTAATCTGAAATGATATTTGAGGCACCCCATACTTTACCTGACTTGTGAACACTGTTCATTTATATTTACAAACTGATAACGGTCAATTATGTATGACTTAAACCATTGTAAAGCTTGTCTCTAAAGACCTATAAAATTCAAGCGATCTATGAGAATATAATGATCGATAGTGGTGAATAAAGCACTGAGGTCAAGTAAAACTAGTAATGAGATGCGGCCTCTGTTAGCCGCTAAGAGTAAATCATTGGTTATTTATTTATTTATATATTGGTTTCTGTACTGTGATAAGGCCTAAAACCTGACTGAAACGTTTGAAAAAACACTGTTCATCAAGTTGTGGTTTCTTAATAATAGGCTTACTAATTTCTAGCTTGAAAGATTTGGAACATGGCCTAAAGATAAAGAAGAGTTTATAAGGTTAAGAAGAGGTTCTCCTTCTACAGGTAGCAACTCTTTCTTTAATTTTGTTGGATGGGTCTAACATACATGTAGCTGGTTTAGACATATTTAAAAGTTTATTTAGCTCTTCCTGATCTATGGTTTTGTAGCACTGTAGATTCAGTGGATTGTTTAATGAATCTGAAGTATAAGGTGGTGCAGAAAGTTTTACATCTATTTTATGTCTGAAACTTCTATTTTATCACTGAAAAGAATCATGAAGTCATCACTACAAATTTGCATTGGAACATTTTGTTCAGATGACCATTGATTATTTGTTTAAAAAATAGCATTTTTAATTTTGCATTAGACAGTGATGAACAGTATGTGCCCAGGCAAATGTAACATAGACAATGAGGCACAGCATGTGCCAAAACAAGTCAAAGGTGAAATGTAGTTTGTGATGTTCTGAAGAACAATTAGGCTCTCATTCTTCAATTTCATTGAAGTGGAAAAGGAAATTTCTAGTTTTTCAAGTTACATAAATGCCTCTTCAAAACCAACCACAAACAATGCACTGACATAGATTCAAACACTTACTCCATTGTCTATAAAACTTGCTGTGAATTAAAAAATTAAATATTAAATACATAAAATAAATTCATTCATGAACATTTGGCTTAATTTCCCATACACCGTTGTTCACCTATAGCATGGGTCTCAGACCAACAACCTTCTTGCCTTTCTGTACGAAATCTGTTTGTTCTCCATGTTTGTGTGGGTTTCCTCCTGGTGCTCCAGTTTCTCCAACAATCCAAAGACATGTAGTATAGGTAAACTGGACAAATTAATCTGGGCACAACGTGTGTGAATAGTAAAGCGTGTGGGATGTTTGTGCTGTGGTGACCCCGATAAAGGGAAGTCATCATTAAACATTTAAAGTAAAGACCTTGATTTGAAAAGCTTCATTTCTTCCATCACTACTTACAATCATTGAGACACCGTATTGCTTTATAACATATTTATATATATATATATATATATATATATATATATATAGAGAGAGAGAGAGAGAGAGAGAGAGAGAGAGAGAGAAAGAGAGAGAGAGAATATTTTAATTCACAGCAGGTTTTTAGACAATGGAGTTACTCTCAGGGCATTTTTTCAGATGATTTACTTCAAGTGAATTCAAGACTGAAATTTAAATCATTCCTCAGAATATCATACCTCATAAACTACAATTCATTTTTGACTTGTGTTGGCGCATACTGTGCATCACTGTCTAATGAGTCAGTGCATCACTGTCTAATGCATCATGCCACCTGTCTCAACTTTTTGCCATTAGAGTCTAATGAGTCAGTAAATGCAAAACAGTCAACCAATAATAAAATATGCAAATATGCAAAACTCAGTTGTCTAGTTTTTAGCTACAACTCAGTTGTCTAGTTTTTAGCTTTTAGCTACAAGTCATGTTCTGATCCACCAGAATATGTGCACATACATGGTAAAATTTCCCCAATTTTCTCAATCGCAATTGTAAGAATACATTGGGCTCTGGGGTATAGAAAAAAAAAACATTAGCTATAAATTACATTTCACTTTAGATTGGTTTCAATTAGTCAACACTAATGTTCCATTGTTCAATATTCTTAATGTCATTTTTATAAAATGAACAAATGAAGCATTCATAAAAAAAAGTTTGCTTTCTAACCATTTCAGTTAGAAACATATTTGAGTGTATATACTTGAGATGGGTACAGTACTTCACAACAATGGACATTAATTTGAGCCTGACTATTCTAATATACTGCATTTGCATCCAATCCCTTGTCCTTATGTCCCTTCAATCGCAACAACAACACACACTAAAATGTTAAGAGGAATAAAACGCACTGACCCTGTGGTAAACCACTTCTCTCATCTGAACATGTGGCACTATATAAAGTAATAGTTTACTATTTATTAATTATTTACTCACTCCTTACTTAATTCAAACCTTTATGAGTTTCTTTCTTCTGTTGAACACATAATAAAGCTGGAGTCCTGTAACCATTAACTTCCGAAGTATTTGCTTTTTTAACAGAAGTCAATAATTACAGGTTTTCAGCTTTCTTTAAAAGTGATTTTTGGTATGTTCTAGATGAAAAACTCAAATAGGTTTGTAACCCCATTCCATTGAAGGAGAGTAAATTTAAATATTTCTATGAACAATCCAAATAAGAATGTGTAGAAAATACTTGATGGCTTGTAATGGCATGTAAAAGTAAAAATGAAACAAATAAAAAAATACAGAATTAAAACTAAGAACATTACACAGTCAGATGTAAAACAGCAAGCCATCAACATAGCTAGACTTCTTAGAACAAGATATTTTTATTAAAGGCACCCCTCAGCACTCTTTCACTTTGAGAATTCAAAGTTGTTCAAGTAACTTTTTTAAATAAAGCTCACATTTTCCATGTAGTTTCAGTCATTCAGATCATTAAGGAATTTCAGGAAATCAGATGCAAGAATTTTCTTTTCTTACTTAGAGGAATGTGGTGATGTTTTGTCCCTTTCATCACAGCCTTTGACCCTTGAGATTTGTTCTGAAGAAAACTTTGTAAGAAATACTTTTAGCTTCAGAAGTAATGCACCTAATAAAACTGACTAAGTGACATGCATGCTGTTTTAGATTTGTGTTTTGTGCTTTTCTAACTGGATAAAACATCAATGAATGTCTGTCATGTTTTTGACAAAATTATTACAATTTACACTGTAAAAAATTGCTGTTAAAAAACTGTCAGATTCTACGGTAAAATAATGTTTTTTCACTAAAACAGTAATATTCTGTTAAAAACAGTGCTTTCTGGGTAACATTTTTGTTTTCGAGAAAGTAACCAACTGCAGAAAACTGTGAGCTAACAGAGTTCAGATTCGATGTTTTGAAGTCTGTGTTTGAAATCACACTTTGTGTCCTTGTTTACTATTTCATAAACTAGTTAACTAATATAGTTCACCTGACAGTTTTAATGAACACTAATGAGTGAATTCAGACACTGATGAACACCTGCTGTTAATATTTACAATTACTGAAGAAAATAAACAAGAAACACAAACAGTGACTTGAGTTACAACATTAAATAAAATAAAATAAAATAAAACAGCTTCAGTCTCAGCAGAGGATCATCAAACAACTCCACAAACAACAGCAGACACACACTTATTACTGACTGATTTGACTTCCATACTATTCTCATTGAGATCCAACAGAAATTAAGGTGTTTTTTGTGTCACCGTAATGGAGTGAGGGGCTGATTTAGTTGGGTTCTTCACCCTTGAACTCATTTATGAAGACTTTCCATCTGCTGTAATACAGAGTTTACAAATTGGTTGTACTATAGCAATAAAGTTGGGAAGTCAATAAATAGAGAAATCTATTAGTCTGTAATTAGTTCTGATAAATGTTTTGGTTTAAATCTGGATGAAGGGCCACATGCAATAGATTTTATGCTTAGTTGCAAGTATTAATTTAATTAATGAGAAGTGGAAATAGAAAAGATACCTCCGTAATTACTTAACAGTTAAGAAATAACATACAAAAACAGTTCAGTTATGACAAATACACACTCAGACCTCATGAATCAGACCTTGTATCTCAACAATGGTAACATCTCAAATGTTTCATGCTGCAATGCATGCTGGGAGGGGCACAGTACAAATATCCCAGCATGCATTGCGGTATAAATAAATGTTGTATAATGGTCTCACAGTTTCTTTATTTGTGTTTGATTCTGCTGTTGTTTATGTTTAGACTTTCAGTTGCCTGTTTGTGAGTTAAACTGTTAATTTTGTTAGTTGTCACCATTATTGAGGTTCAGATGCTGATTATTGATGTCTCTTTGAGTGCGATTTACACCATAGAGCAGTGTTACTGTCCAAGATATTCTTAAAAACTTCCAGAAATCATTGCCATATATAGACATATAATGTAAAACAATAGATTTAACATTGAATAGGAGCAGTAAATTTGATTATACTAAATGAGAACAGACTCTGCCATTTAATAGCATCATGAACATCACCAGATCTTATTTAGGTTTTTGGCTGGCTTGCCTCAACAAAGGAGCTTTTTAAACAAAGTTCTTAACAATTGCAGCAGCCAAGATATATAAATGTTAAAAATGACAGGGCTAAGAGCCCAACTAAAGCAAACTCTGTTCTCCATGATGGTGACGTAAAACTTTCACCTTTTCTCAAGAAGAACTTTAGTAGATGTTATACAAAAATACATGTATTAAGTAATAAGTGTAGCTGGTGATGATGTTTGTAGAGTTGTTTAATCATCCCCTGATCATTTAAATGATTTAATTATTTGTTGTTCTTCAGGTTATTTCATTATAAAGCTGTGACTAAAGTTTTGTATGTTCTGTTCTTGTTTTTTCCCTTCAGTATTTCTTCATTTGTTCATTGTTAATCCTCAATTATCATTTAATTAGTCAGTTAATTAATTAATTTACATCAGCTTTGCTACATGTTTCTTGAACACTCAGTAGTGTGGACACTTCAATTAAAACTGAAGTATATGCTCTGGGGTTTAAAGGGTTAAAGGTGTGAGAGGTAAAAACACAGTGTAAAAATGTATTTTAACAGTAATATACTGTTAATTTACACTACGGAAATAGACTGTAAAAAAACAGTATATTGCTGGCAACCACAGCTGCCAGTAGATTACCGTTAAATCAAGGAAAAAACAGTATTTTACTGTAAAACCTGAAGCTAATTTCTTCTGTCTGTCACCGTTGTGGAGGAGAGTAGAGCCAGTGTATGAGTTAAAGATGAACAATGAACTGCTGATGTTATTCTGCATGGTTTTTTTTCTATTTAAAGATAGCGGCTGTTTAGTTGCTGATGCAGTCAGAATCTCTCTGGTGATTCCAGATTTACATGTATGTGTGCTGTTGTGAAAAATAAGACATTAGAGTTAAACCGAACTTTTCTAATTAACTAAAATAAGTTATTGTTATAAGTATACTTCTAAGCATGTATAGCACATTACTTCATAAACTCATTCAGCAATTGGCCAAGTTGAGGCAGTTGCTTTCAGTGAGCAAAATGAGTTCACTTGAGTATTGTGTAAATCAATGTAGTCCATGTATTTTTACAGCAACATTCTGTAAAATAACAGTACAATGCTGGCAACTGCAGCTGCCAGTATTTTACTGTTTTTTAACGGGACAATTTTTAACAGTGTGAACAATCTGCCAGATATGTTACTGAACTAACAGAGTGCATCAAGGTCAAATCGTCAGATGAAGATGTTGATGATTCCACTGAGTTTGTAAAGTTCTTTCCTAGTTTCATCTGGTCTGTGAGGGACTTCACCCTCGAGCGAAAGATTGATGGCAAAGATGCCACAGAGGATGAATATCTAGAGTTTGCTCTGAAGCTGAAACCTGGTAATATAATGCAGAATCTCCACATTCACGATGACAATATGTCACCTTGGAATGATAAGGTTCTATCTGCGTTCTGAACAATTTAGAGATATTGAGCTTCAAAGTTTTTGCATTCCATATCAAACAGTATGTCTGTAACATTTTATTTTTATAAAAAGTCTTAAAATGTAAACAACTTAACATCCCATAATGTAAATAAGTTGACATTTGATAAGAATATGTCAATAACTCAATTTTGACAAAAATATCAAATAGAACCTTATAATTTTAATGTGACAAATAAGCTTTTTACAAGAGCTCTTACAACTTTAATATTTTGTTAACAGATCTACATTACTCTAATACCACATATTGGATAAGATTGTAGCTGCCTAATTTTGAATATATTAGATAATTTGGTCCCACTTTATATTAAGTGGCCTTAACTAATATGTACTTAAATAGTTTGTTACAATGTACTTATTGTGTAAATACATGTATTTACTGTGTACTTAAGCTTGATTAAATACATGTATGTAATTACATCTGTAATTAACTTTTGTAATTACATTTGTAAATACACTGTTGACCATCCCTTACACCTTAACCCACCCTTAAACCTACCAATGCCACCAAACCTGTCCATAACCCAACCTCTATCCCAACTCGAAAGCACCACAAGTGTTCTCAAATACATTATAAACACAGTAAGTACATTGTATTTATTTTGTGACGTCAGTGCATAGTAGTTAAGGACACTTAATATAAAGTTTGACCGATAATTTTGTTTTCAATTACTTCAACCTAAAAAAGAAAGTTATCTGTCAAGTTGGTTGAATAGGATAAGAACTGTTTTATTCTATTCTAATAATGTATGCATACTGTGAAGCTGAACCAGCTATACTCTTCTCAAAGAACAAAAACTCATATTAAACTTCATTATTCTTTAGAATTGTGAGGAAAAAAATGTGTTCGTTTGTTCTAGGCACTTCGAAAAAAATAACAAGCTTCAACCTTCCCAGGGAGTGCATCCAAAAATTCTTTCCCTCCAGGACATGCTTCACTTTCCCATTTCCAACTGCTCCGGAGAAAATGTCCACTCTGGAGAGCTTGAGTCCTGCTGACCTTTCCACTGAGTTTCTGGAGGTCACCAAACGTTTCTGTAAGTTTGTCTTTGACAAGAGCGAAGTGAAGCGACTAAAAGATGGACACACGGTCACTGGCAGAGGTGATTCTAAAGGGAATTCAAAGAGTTTGCCTGTTTACAGTGATCTCTTGTTCAGAGCTTTTCTATAACATTGTGGTTGATTTGTTTTCTTCTTTGAAAGTTCTGGGTAGTCTTACAAAGATGTACGTGAACACCATCTCCAGTGGGGCTGTGCCTTGTCTGGAGAACGCAGTGATTGCCATGGCCCAGATTGAGAATGAGGCCGCAACGCAGGAGGGTCTGGAGGTGTACCAGAGAGGAATGGAGAAGCTAAAAAGCTCCTTCCCCCTGGAGCTGGAGCAGGTCTCTTCAGAGCACCAACGCCTCAGCAGCATGGCTACACAAGCCTTCATGGCTCGATCATTCAAGGACACTGATGGGAAGCACCTGAAGGTTCTTGAGGTAAACTAGATCTTAACCAAACAATATGACCTGGCTCACCAACAAACTAGTCTTGCATAGACAGATTTCAACATGACAGCTGAAGGTCTGGGAAATTTGGATACTTTGAATGGTCAGGGGCCACACTTGAAGCTATATGACTGACAGGTTAACCAACAAATCATGTTTTATTGTTGTGTTGCATCATGTTAAAGATTTTGGAAAGCCTAGTATGCAACTAGTGCATCATTCATTCACAGTTCTCTTAAGTTTATAACAACTGTACACTGTTAAAAATTGTCCCGTTAAAAAACAGTAAAATACTGGCAGCTGCAGTTGCCAGCAATGTACTGTTATTTTACAGTATGTTGCTGTAAAAATACATGGACTACATTGATTTACACGATACTCAAGTGAACTTTGCTCACTGAAAGCAACTGCCTCAACTTAGTCAACTGCTGAATGAGTTTATGAAGTAATGTGCTATATATGCTTAGAAGCATATTTATAATGATAACTTATTTTAGTTAATTAGAAAAGTTCGGTTTATTTTTCACAACAGCACACATACATGTAAATCTGGAATCACCAGAGAGATTCTGACTGCATCAGCAACTAAACAGCCGCTATCTTTAAATAGAGAAACATGCAGAATAACATCAGCAGTTCATTGTTCATCTTTAACTCATACACTGGCTCTACTCTCCTCCACAACGGTGACATACAGAAGAAATTAGCTTCCGGTTTTACAGTAAAATACTGTTTTTTCCTTGATTTAACAGTAATCTACTGGCAGCTGTGGTTGCCAGCAATATACTGTTTTTTTACAGTCTACTTCCGTTGTGTAAATTAACAGTATATTACTGTTAAAATACATTTTTACACTGTGTTTTTACCTCTCACAGCTTTAACCCTTTAAACCCCAGAGCATATACTTCCGTTTTTATTGAAGTGTCCACACTACTGAGTGTTCAAGAAACATGGAGCAAAGCTGAAGTAAATTCATTAATTAACTGACTAATTAAATGATAATTGAGGATTAACAATGAACAAATGAAGAAATACTGAAGGGAAAAAACAAGAACAGAACATACAAAACTTTAGTCACAGCTTTATAATGAAATAACCTGAAGAACAACAAATGATTAAATCATTTAAATGATCAGCGGATGATTAAACAACTCTACAAACATCATTACCAGCTACACTTATTACTTAATACATGTATTTTTGTATAACATTTACTAAAGTTCTTCTTGAGAAAAAGTTAAAGTTTTACGTCACCATCATGGAGAACAGAGTTTGCTTTAGTTGGGCTCTTAGCCCTGTCATTTTTAACATTTATATATCTTGGCTGCTGCAATTGTTAAGAACTTTGTTTAAAAAGCTCCTTTGTTGAGGCAAGCCAGCCAAAAACCTAAATAAGATCTGGTGATGTTCATGTTGCTATTAAATGGCAGAGTCTGTTCTCATTTAGTATAATCAAATTTACTGCTCCTATTCAATGTTAAATCTATTGTTTTACATTATATGTCTATATATGGCAATGATTTCTGGAAGTTTTTAAGAATATCTTGGACAGTAACACTGCTCTATGGTGTAAATCGCACTCAAACAGACATCCATAATTAGCGTATGAACCTCAATATTGGTGACGACTTACAAAATTAACAGTTTAACTCACAAACAGGCAACTGAAAGCCTAAACATAAACAACAGCAGAATCAAACACAAATAAAGAAAACTATTAGACCATTATACAACATTTATTTATACCGCAATGCATTGCAGCATGAAACATTTGAGATGTTACCATTGTTGAGATACAAGGTCAGATTCATAAGGTCTGAGTGTGTATTTGTCATAACTGAACTGTTTTTGTATGTTATTTCTTAACTGTTAAGTAATTACGGAGGTAACTTTTCTGTTTTCACTTCTCATTAATTAAATTAATACCTGCAATTAAGCATAAAATCTATTGCATGAGGCCATTCATCCAGATTTATAACAAAACATTTATCAGAACTAATTTCAGACAAATAGATTTCTCTATTTATTGACTTCCCAACTTTATTGCTATAGTACAAACATTTTGTAAACTCTGTATTACAGCAGTTGGAAAGTCTTCTTAAATAAGTTCAAGGGTGAAGAGCCCAACTAAATCAGCCCCTCACTCCATTACGGTGACACAAAAAACACCTAAATTTCTGTTGGATCTCAATGAGAATAGTATGGAAGTCAAATCAGTCAGTAATAAGTGTGTCTGCTGTTGTTTGTGGAGTTGTTTAATGATCCTCTGCTGAGACTGAAGCTATTTTATTTTATTTTATTTTATTTAATGTTGTAACTCAAGTCACTGTTTGTGTTTCTTGTTTCTTTTCTTCAGTAATTGTGATTATTAACAGCAGGTGTTCATCAGTGTCTGAATTCACTCATTAGTGTTCATTAAAACTGTCAGGTGAACTATATTAGTTAACTAGTGTATGAAATAGTGAACAAGGACACAAAGTGTGATTTCAAACAAAGACTTCAAAACATCGAATCTGAACTCTGTTAGCTCACAGTTTTCTGCAGTTGGTTACTTTCTCGAAAACAAAAATGATACCTAGAAAGCACTGTTTTTAACAGAATATTACTGTTTTAGTGAAAAAACATTATTTTACCATAGAATCTGACCGTTTTTTAACAGCAATTTTTTACAGTGCAGCATGTTTGTTTCTGTGTGTCTGTTATGCGTCTTGTGTGTCTGTTATGCAAACCCGTGCGACACCTCTGCCAAACAGATTTCCTCAGCGCAGCTTGAAGCGCCTACAGGTCTCTGCGATAAGGTTATAGCCGTTGTAATAAACACAGTAGTGATCCGGACAGATCTGTGAAGACGAACAGCGGGTGGTTCCGCTAAGACTGTTTGATGCTGATAAACACGCAAGCGCCACGGTTCTCTGAGCACAAACATAGACCTCTAGCGCCATCTAGTGGATACTCGACAAATATATATTCATATTATTCTATCCTATTTTCACCCAATTAAATGAAATATATTTGACCTAATCTGAACGTCTGTATTACGTCAACGTACAAGCAATAGTCTAGGAGACCATATTAGTTACAATTATCATATTCCATGTTTTATCCAAACACATCTGATATTTTAATTTAAATAACCACCTATTTATAACACCATTAAAACAGTAATATTACAGGTTAAAATGTTTCCGGATGCTTATTTATAGATTATCCGACTACAATAATAGATAATAACAATGTTTTTGTTTTTTATTCATATGTAACAGAAATTAGCTCATTTTATGAATATTAATAATCAACAATAACGGTTTATTCCTAATTATTAATATTCCGGCTTAAGCTTCAGTCAATTTGGTCAAACAAACATATAATTGTATTTGATCCTGCCCGCGCGACCGAGCGGATTCTCAGATTATGAATATTAATTATCAACAATAACGAATTATTTTTAATCATTAATATTCCGGATCAATTTATTGTTAACTTGACCAAACAAACACAACTAGAGCTGCCGCTCTCCCGAGCGGCCACGGTAATGATCTATTTATTTAGAAAAAGGGAATTTAATTGCTACTTCTTGTGAAGTAGATTAATCATTTATAAGTTTTAATCAACTTATAATATCTAGGCAGGGGAATCTTTTTCCCGTGAGGCAAACATTACAATTCATTTGATTATAATAGGATTTACTGACTAGTCAGACAGATAACGAACAAACGCACAAACATAACATTAAACATAGAACAAAGGTAAAACACGTGGAGATATCGGGTCTATAGAACGTGTAACGTGTAGAAATAGTAAAGCGAGGAAATAGAGATTTCAGATAAAAGAGTGACAAAACTTTCAGTTCCACACGCACCATTAATGCCTAGTTCAGACTGCGTGATTTTAACCCCGATTAAATTAAACCCGTTACCGACCGCTCCCGCGATTTATTCGGAAATTTATTCCCGCGCCGCAGAAATCTGGTCGGGTCCTGCGGCGCCCTCGGGACAGCCGCGGAAATGCAGACCTCTACCGGAAAATAAGAAAGCGTGGCAGGAAAAGTCCATGCGGCTTAGAAAGTACTTAGGTTAGACTTAGACTACTCTGCCGGATGTTTGGGGAGAAGTCTGGTTATACCTGCGGGTCACGTGACAACCCGTTCAGCATTCTGACCAATGATTTCAGGGGAAAGTTTGAGCGCGAATCCTTCCTTTGTCTCGAGGCTACTCGTATGCAAATTTGAGTGTCTGCCCAAAGCATGCGGACAGGCATTTAATACAGGGATTTAAAGAATAAAGCAATGCTAAATATGATCTTGCTCTATGCATCATATATTGTAAAATGTCAGCAGAAACCCATCTGTACCAAACATGGGGGGTTTGTAACATATACAATTGTAATCATGTTTAGCTATCTGCACACTACTGATTATTTATAGCAACCTGCACATATATTCATATATTGTAAATCTGTTCATAGCTTATCCAACCTGTATATAATGTTCATAGTACATCCATCTGTAAATATCACCATAGTTTTCTATAACTGCACTTTATAACTTATTCCTGTATCCTGCACTTGCTGCTATTGCACTGCTGGTTAGACCTAAACTGCATTTCGTTGCATTGTACTTGTACATGTGTAATGACAATAAAGTTGAATTTAATCTAATCTAATCTAAAAGTACATCAACATAATTTTTTCCATCCTCACATTATTTATGCTTTAAAAAGGCCTAAAGGGAACAGGCATAAAGGTTATAAAAGAGGTTACACAAGTACGAAAAGTCAGAAATGAGATGCAAAGTTTACAAAACATAACGCTTTAGTTTTGTGCTGGTCCAGGATTTCTGAGTTCAATTTTCTTTCTGTCGGAACAGAATAACAGACCAAAACGATGGAGGTGGCTGAGAGAGGCTCCATACACTTCGCAGTTGTACACCAGGGAGCAATGCTCGGCCCCCACGACGAAGAACTCTCTGCCACCAGACTTGCCGTGGACAGTCTGTCTGCACAGGTAACGGAGCTTACCAACCAGCTGCACAGATTTTGCCATGGGGGTCCATCTAATGCTGAACAGCCGATGTCTGAACCCCGAGTGAACAACCCCCCACGTTATGCGGGTCAACCCTCTGAGTGTCGGTCTTTTTTGACCCAGTGTGAGGTAGTGTTCTCACTACAACCATCTACCTATGCCACCTATCGCTCCCTAGTGGCATTTGTTCT